TACATAACGAATAATAATAAGGCTTAGCCAGGTCGAAGGTTCGATGCTGACCTCTAAATCGTCTCCCTCCCTGTTACTAAAACCACGTATCTGCAAGCTCAGAACTAGCGAAATTCCCCCACCTTTATCTCATCATACCCTTACTGGTTGAATTGGCTCTATCCTTCCTCCACGACAATTCCTTCTTGGTGTTTTCCTTTTCCAGAAAACCAAAAATAATACCTACATCATGGACCTCCTCACTCTATATTCATCTATCTACTCTCTTAATATCAGATATCAACCTATTGACTTATATATCATTTCTCATAAAACTACATCTTTCAGCAAATCCTTCGTCATTCGTGCTACCTCCTTCTGGAATTCTAAAACTGTCAGCATACGGCAATCCTCATCCATAAATTCCTTCAAACAACTCCTATTCCACCACCTACTTCATTTTCAAACTTCCGTACCTATGCAATACTTACTGGATTCTCTTATTCCAACTGCTCACTTACATTTAATCGACAAGTTCTATTTGATTTTATTTCATTTATATATTTTTTTCTTTGTATACATCTAAACCATATAAAACGTACTAGTGTTACTTTGTTTACTGTATTGTTCAAGTATGATTCCAATAGAAATTTAAATTAAAATTCAATTGACAAGAACCTCTTTGTATTTTGTCAAGCCATACTAATGGACCAATGTTTTGTACCATGCCATTATTATTCTTATGGTCATTATTACTTTAGTCCCAGAATGAAATTATTTTTTCATTTCATTTCAACTCTTACTGTGCTAATATTTTCACTACATCAATGTAATTCAAGTTCTTTAATCTTATTATATCATCTAATAATTAATTCTTTGTTAGGATTATAATTTAAACTTCAGTTTTTTTAAAGAGCAATTCGGCTTCCCAATAGTTATAGTAACGTTGAAATAGATGAAAATCCTGTGACATTATGAATGTTTTCGTGGACGTTATTTATAAAAACTTTGTTTATAAAATCATAAAAAAGCATTCAAGGGCACACTATTACTGACCCTCGAGTATGGTTCTAATATTTTTCGAACTAGTATCCTTAGAAAAAGCTTCATTGAAGTCTGTAACCCCAGGCCCATAACCTCTCCGTGGTCGGCTACTACACCAACAGCTCTACTTGATCATTGTTTTAGCATTTATGTTACTATTCTGAAGTTGATTGACTAGACAGATAACCTTGACTGATCACTCGCCCAAATAAAAGTAAAGTAACTGATAGATAGGTGTTTTTATTAAGTACCTACAGCACCTAGTCCCTATTGAAAGTAACTGCTTTTTAGCACGATTACGTTTACTGAACGGCTTAATACTCTTCATCGAAGTGAATACACTAACTGTTTACAAAAGAAAGATCCTGCTAGCCATTACAGTAGCAGTGGTGCCAACATTGTATTGTACTCCTCCATCGCCACCTAAATCGATTGGGTACGGATCTTGTGCCTGCACTGACCCTGGCCACTAACTCTATTGTTATATTCCGCCACCTGTTGCTATCTCCATGTCCATCTTTATCTCATTTCCCTTCAGTCTTTCTCTTTGCCATATTTTCATTCTTTTTACCTCTTCCTTGTAATAAGGTGAAATTTTATACAGTATTGAACATGTTGTATTTCAAGTGTGTCCTCACTTAATAAAATTCCGTAGACCTACTATTAAAATAAAAAACCTGTACCACTACAACCCATGAAGGGTCTTGGGTGCAGTACTGTGTGAGGAAGTACTGTTTCAAGGCCAACGGTTGTGCAGGGATGTGATGGGGCCGATATCACACTCAACCGCCAGGTTTTTCCCCCTTAATTATTTTTTTATATTTAAGAACACCCACTTTATAGAGGCTAGGTGTGCCCAAGGAGGGTCTCCCGATCCCAGGGTCGATCCACGGCTAATGAAAAATTACTAGTCATTAGCCGGATTCGAACCCAGGGCCTTGAGCTCTGGAAGTCAGTGCTCACCCACTGAGCTCTACCCCGCTCCCACCTAGACCTACTATTAAAATGACTAAATATTCCTAATAACGTGGTTAATCATGATGAAAAAAATCGTGTATTTGTCTTGTTTGGTTAATGCTCAGTCCATTTTTAACATTTTATACTTTCTATATTTTTTTAAAACAATCATTGCTTATAAAAAAAACAAAACAAAGATACCTATATTCCTAGACGTGACAACAATCCAAGAATTTGGTGAACATATTGCTATGAAGAAGCCACAATGGTATCTCAAAACTCACATCATTATTACCCAACACTCACAATAATAATAAAATTCAAAGCGTCATCCTGTAGGAAAACGTTTATTTTAATTGAACTCTATATACAAACGTGCTCCGCGCAGTTATGATGTAACGTAAGAACGTCCGGTTCCTCGTTCCGTCCAAGTAAGAACGTTGATCTCTGATTTTTTTTCTTGATGCCCGGGTAGTAGAAAGGAGACTCGGATAGCTCCACGTACAGCCTGTGTCCCGATGGCAGATCGCCTTCCAGGTTATTACTCCTTCCTCTTGGGTACATCTGTTTTCGACAAGCGGGGTTCTTGCGTAATGATAGGTGGACTCCAGGAACTGTTCTTATCTTCCAAGGTTGCTCTTACTTTGTGTATTTCCAGCAATAAGGGTTGATACTTTATACAGGGTGTTTCAGGATTAAGTAGCCAAACTACAAAAATGAACTAAGGAACTCAAAACAAGAAAAAAATTTCCTCTGAAGATATGTCCTGCAATCGCTTTGTTTAGAAGATATTCACACCTAAAGATTTTCGTTGTTATGGATTATTTACGTTATATGAAATAAATAAAACATATTACTTGTTCTAACTACTTTATTAATTAAATGAAATATTAACATTCATATTAAATCAAGTTGAGCATAATCTACAATTTTTAGGAAAAATTCTCTGGACAGATGAAGCTCCCTTTACAAGAAGAGCTTCAGTCAGAAATGTAATCATCTCTGGTCGCAGAAAAATCCTCATGCGAATCGTCAGCATCATTTTCAGCTCCAGTTTCAGTGCAATGTGTAGTTGGGGATAATAGATAATATTTTAATAAGTCCGCATTTCTTGCCGCCTCTACTCTATGCGGGCACATTTCTGGAATTTCTTAATAATGATTACAATCATTTAGTTAAACATATTCCACTACAATGGGGAGCGGGGTAGCTCAGTGGTAGGATACTGAGCTTCCAATGCTATAGGTCCCAGGTTCGAACCTCGGCTCATGGCAGAAAATTTATTTATCTGTTTCATTGACCGTGGGGTCGGGAGACCCTCCTGGGGCTTACCCAGCCTCTATAAAGTGGGTACCCTTAATTAAAGTATTAATTAAGTGGTAAAACCTGGTGGTTGAGCGTGATTTCGGTCATATCACCTCATTGCACAACCGTTTATCTAGAAACAGTACTTCCCCTAAATATTACTGAACTCAAGACAGATCCTTCATGGGTTGTAGAGATACAGGTTTTTATTCCACTACAACCGAGAAGAGAGATGTGGCTTCAATTAGATGGTTGTCTTGCACATTACGGAAGAGGTCCTCGACAATGGCTAAATGTTAATTATCCCAATCAATGCTTTGGCCGTGCAGGACCAGTGGCTTGGTCTGCACGCTCTCCAGAACTGACACCACTGGATTTTTTTGTTTGGGTTGACATTAAACAAGGAGTTTATGCAAGTAACGACGTTGTTTCGAGCTAATATGCTCATTCTCAAGTCATCTATAAATAACAATTAATAAACATAATTGACAACAATTCTTTATTTTTTCTTCGCTCTGTTACATCTATTACTCCACAATCAGAAGTATGAACTATAGTTCCTTATTTTATTTATTTTTTTTACTATTTTTAAAATATGTAACTACCTTAAATCCATCAAAAACTAACGAACATAACTCTGAAATAAGTCGGCCCACTAGTCGATAATGAGCCCCTCGCCACAATCCGAAGACAAAGCACTGCTCCCCGAAGCGGAACAATAAGACAATCAATCAGAACAAACTTGCCGTATTATTCTGCCTTCGAGGGAACTCCGCAAACAAGGGAATCCAATGCCTCTTCGACATCAATTCATTAGTGCTCCTCCATCTCCTCCCGCCTTCTATAGCAGATATTAATTAATTATTATTTTCGAACTGCCCACGTTAGTCTTTACTTAAATTTTAAAACTTTCCCTTTGATCCATATAGTAGGGGAAGGGGGAAAATAAAACGAAGTGATTCATTACAATAATTGAAAAAAAAAAAAAAAACATCTTTGAATGGTATTGGGCAAATTTCTAAACTCAGGGCTGAGCTCATCGATGACCTCACTTTGGTTTTGGCACTTGACCATTTTTTAACAAACAATTTCATTGTGAAATAAATTTGTGAAAATTAGCTATGTTTTAAGAAAATTTGTTAATTGAATGTTGACTTATCTGTGTCAATTATTCGCTACCACCTGAACAAGTTATTTCGAATATACTATTGTCCTGACACGAATCACAGATTTTTTTAATTTTGTATAATTGCTCTGATTTACAACTTTAACAGTGACTAAAATTGTATAATGGCTTGTGACTCAAAGAAAACTGCATCAATGAGAAGCGGTTGAAGACATTAAACATATGTCTACTGATTTGTCTGGTCATTTTATACCTTTGTTTTCATCATGTAGTGTAAAGACATCTATTATTAACACGTTACCAATTATTGATATATGTAACTTAAATTTGATAAAGCAAGCTCTTAGGTTCATTTTGGATTTCAAACTTGGCGCCCTTTCAAAGCCACATTAATCAGCATTTGAAAGAGCGCCAAGTTTGAAATCCAAAATGAACCTAAGAGCTTACTTTATTAAAATTAAGTAACAAGTGTCAATATTTGGATATGTGTCAGTAATAGGTGCATTTACCCAGTCATAATTAAATTGCTTTATTTCAGGTATAGATAAGATGTATTATGTAGTTGCTAACATGATCTATTTTGTTGCAGAGTTCGAGAGAAGAACGACGGGCCGCAGAGAGGAGCGACTCGACAAGCAGCTCGAGCAGGGAAGTGCTGGAGCGATTACTGGAGACCCCAGGGCCGTACCCTAGCCTCGTCCTCCCGCCCGCGGGCTACTGGGGCGACACGGGGGAGGACAGGAGGAACAGCCAGTGCGGCCCAGAGGCGATCCCTTCTCCGGAGCCCGTCTACTACAGGCACCACTTTTTAGGGCAGGTCAGTAATCGTCTCGTCTTCGGGAATATATCGGTTTGGCAAATAAGTTCTTTCGGTTTTTCAGGGTGAAATAAAACCTTTGCACAAACTGCTTAGTGCTACGTTCATAAAACTTATGCGGTTTATTGTCAAAAAACTGATATAAGTGGTATTTTTTGCCCTTGTTCTATTTGTGATTGCTTTCGATTCATGGAGCTTTACAAGAGACTGGAATAAGTGTAGTCACTTGGAGCAAAGTCTGATGGATAGGGAGAGTGAGGGCAAAATATCCCATCCAAAGCTTGATAATGTATTGCAAGTGACCAATAAGATATGGGATCTAGCATAGTCTTGACAGAAAACAACACATTTCCGATTTGCCATTTCTGAACTTTTTTTCGAATTGATTAATGTAATTTCATTAATAATGAGAAGTGTAGTGTTAAATCAATTGTTACTCTTGATGGAATGCAACCCGGGTTTTATCGTTGTTGAAAATGAGTCTTTTTGTTGCAGTTCCGTAATGAATCGCGAACGTCCCCCAAACCCAAACATCAAACGAGGGAACGTAACCGATCTTGTACGATTGGTTTCTTACGTTTGTGAGCGACACATCTAGGACCATTGCAATCTACTGCTCTGATTGTGTGGAATTTCGGTCCACAATGGACTTAAAATTCCTCGTTTCGATTACTTGTGGGCGGTCGCCGGTCTGACCGTGGAGCGTAATTGATGTCGAAATTTCCTGAATTTGGCTAGCCAATGACACGTGTTTAAAGCATCGTCCCCATAAAAACTGCGATTTTTTTTTTTTTTTTTTTTTAGAGCACGCTGCACGCTTATCTTTTTTAAATATGATAATGAATGATATCTTCCTCCGTGTTCACTGTATTATAGTAAAACACAATACTTATCTAATTTTATAAATAGTTTAAAGAAATGGTCGTAGACTTATTACAAAGTAAATAAACAAACCATCTTAGTTAGGATTACTTCGTCAGATAAGATTTGCACGATTGTGTCCTAAAAATAATTCTTTGCCAACCCAATAGATAACAAAAACAATTTTAGGATGTTGGTATATCATATGTTAGCTGCAGTGTGTTTTTCTCATAACAGAACAGGTTATTAATATTATATGTTCGGTGTACCTTGAGATTTTATATAGTGGGCCGAGATCTGTTAATAAAAAGAGGAAGACGTCCTAATGTAGTTCAAAGGTTGAACAAAGTCAGAAATTCAATGTGTAATTTGTATTATAAGTTGGGATTCATGTCCATCTCGACAATTATTTCTAATTTCTTATCGTTAATACTGATGTAGTATTTATTTAGTTTGGATTTTTAGAACAACGAAAACCTGTTTGCAATTGGAACAATTTTTGTACTTATTGATAAATCATTAATAACAGTAACAGCTTAAATAGCTTGGAACTGTGACTGGTTGTAGTAACGAGACACAACTTGCGGTCCAGGTAACGGAACTAGCTGCCAAGGTCTCTCCGCTCGTTCTCAATGCTCTAGTCTTAAAAGTCATTCGAAGGGCTTTAAAAGCCTTATTAATAAAAGTATTATATAGAAGCTGTGCAGGTTGGAATTCGGCTAAGTGAGTCGAAATTTATTTATACAACTTTATCCACTCACATAATCTGGAATATATCTTTTTAAAAATGGTAGATTTTTGTATTTTCGAAATTTATTTCAAAGAAATTTCTGTATATCCTCATTACAGTTGTATCATTTAAAGTTTAGTAAATGACAGTAATTTAATTTACATAAGGAAGTTACGTTAATCAAAATAAATAAAATAAACATTGAAATGAATGCCTCTAGAGGAATATTTTTTATTCCTTTTTTTTTTTATTCTATTAGAAAGATTTTGACCAAGCAATTGATATTACGTAAGATCTCAATGGAGTGTTGCGGTCAGTTGAATAACAGCTATAATTTCGTGCGTAATGAAAACCTATATAACGGTTCGAAACCAGTGGATTGCATTCTGTTATCTATCAAAGAAATCATTCACGGTTCATCAAATTAGGACTCCATTAAGAAATAATTTTGTTTCGAAGAGTATTTTCTCCCAGGTAGAAATATTTTTATAACACATCTAGGGTCCGATGATTCGTGTGAATGATAAAATATAAAAATATTTCATACTCTCACTAGAATTTCTATGCTACATTCTTGAAAGACAAGTGGGAACTTGGTTTTGACGAGGCTCACATGAATCCTCCGACCTGAGATTCTTTTAATAGTTCATGCAGTAAAAAGGACTCAAATATGCGCATGTTTTTTTTTTCAGAAACGACCAAAAATCGCGTTTAGATTAAAATATGTGGATTATTTTTATAGATAATGAACTAAAAAGATAAATGGAGCATTAAAACATGTAATTGATTCATTCACTCAGAAGAGTAACATTGTAGCTGTATGTACTAGTTGATTTTAATTTAACAGATAAAATAAATTATTAATTCATTCTAAAAACCCTTTCAAACATATGACCTTAACCTATATTTTTTTATCATTTTATAATTATAATTAAAGTTAATATTAAAATATTGAATAATAATACTCGTCGTGGCTTAATAACATGATGTAATATAGGCATATATATGTTAGAAATATATAATAGAAAACTGATTATTCATTCTTTTTTCTGCCTATTTCAGAAAATAAATGAAGCCAAATGTTAATCATATAAAATAACACATAACTACAAAACATGACGAAACTAAAGTTTATTTGATTTTAACTACAATTGACGACCATAGGACTTAAAAAAGAGCAAAAGATTCCGAAACGTCGTCTCGTGATTTTTTAATGGAATTGTAATGAATTAATTTTCAAAATAATGGGCTTTAATAGATCTTAGTAAAGGAAATATGTATTTTTAAAAAAAAAATTGTTTGACTTACTTTTAACTATTAGAAAATTTTATTTTTGGCGCCCAAAGAATTCTGAGCCATTTCTAGTGTGTTAGAGCTAATTAGAAGCAAATATTAACATATTTGCTATAGTATACATCTTTATGATTTAGGAAAAATAATTTTTACTTCTTGGTGTAAATACTTTATTTCTTATTTAACATACGGTTATATGTTCAACCATTCTGGACTCTTTCTCGTTTTCAAGAATTTTCCTTTTTATCTCCCTCGTTTCAAAAATTTATTACATCGTCATATTTCTTACAATTGTTATATTTAGGAACATACTAATCATTGTTATTTTTGGCGCCCGATCAATTCTGAGCTGTTTCCAGCGTTATGGAGGTAATGAGAAGTGAACGGATCCTACCACGTTTTGCTATTATGGTTTGTTCAGTATAAATTGAGTCTCTGATTTTTATTTGATATATATTTTTTTCTGTTGGCATTACATATCTTTTGCCGCCTTAATAAACTTACTCCATCTTCTCCTGTCTTATTTTTAGTAATTTATTAATTTTCGCCGTAGCCTGATTGACTCTCAAACCATAATAATGGCGACAAGATTACAGTTAACAACCAGAATAAGATCTTCCTATCCCGGACGGAGGACACAATACACGACGCCCGGAGCCCGCTGTTCCGCTCATCATAAAACGCCACCCGCGTACACAAGCAATTTCGCCGAAGCCCATTGTAAAAGAGTGTAAACTTTTGTCCCGTTTGAGAACAATCGTCTGGGCTGATGCAGTCACTCTCACAATATCCCCCCCCCACCCTCCATTGTACCCCCTTGTCCACCCCCCTCCCACTGCACTCCTTTTTTGTTTAGTCAGGGCGCTTCTTTCTTGTTTGTTGTTTTTTTATGTTGTTTTTTTTATCTTGTGTGCACTTTAAAGGACTTCATAGGAGCCGGGTTTTGTCATCAATAATTCAATTTGCTTTTGTTAAATATTATGAAAAATACAAATATATACTATTTTTTTTTAATTAAGAGAATATTTTACTATAAATATAATGATTGGTTTCCTTTTTTTTTTTTTTTTTTAATTTCTTAATGACATTTACAACTGTATTACGTAAATACATCTAGTAAATTTGTACATAATAGATATAATGACATGAATACACTTGCTGAGTAACTACCCAATGGTAGCACCTCAGCAAGTGGTAGCACACCTAATGATATGACTACATTAGGAGATCACGGGGCCATATTCTTTTCAGACGCCTCGGAGGGTTATCAGGAATTGAAGAGGAAGCAATGTTAGAAACGAGAGGGTTGGGATGATTCTGAAGTTTATTGTGGAAGGATAGGTATCTGGATTGGGCCAGATCTGAAACATAAGGAACATTAAGATCTTTCTGGATAATTTTATTAGTGACAAAGTAAGGAGCATTGAGGATTTTACGAAGGATGGTTACCTTTTTGAGTAGAGAAATAGTCGATTTCTCTCATTTACTTACAAAAATATATGAATGCCTTATATCCTTTTGTATAACCTAGGACAAAAATGCGTCCAAATGCTTTTTTAAATTTCACTCAAAGACCAAAATTTAGTTTTAAAAGTAAACTAAGCAATCACTCAATTAAAATTCTGAAATCAATTCGGGTCTAACATTTAGAAAATACTTTATACATATATCAATATTTGAGACCCAGAAAATTATTGAAGACATGAAATAAAGCATAGATTTTTTTATTTATTTTTGAAACCAGAAATATATTTATTTTTCATTGGTTATGTATTTAACATTGCCTTGGTTCCTTTAAAGAAATATTTTGAAAAGAAAGTGAGTTATTTAAGCAAAATAATTTAGAAGATTGTTATTAACATCATAATGATATACAACACCAAGTCAGGTTTGGAGAGCGTGCAGGCCTAGCCACTGGTCCTGCACGGCCAATCCATTGATTAAGATAATTATCATTTAGCCATTTTCGTTGACCTCTTCCGTAATGGTCAGGACAACCATCTAATTGAAGCCACATCTCTCTTCTCATTTGTAGTGGAATATGTTCAACTAAATCATAATAATCATTATTAAGAAATTCCATAAATGTGCCGGCATTGACTCGAAGCGGCAAAAA